TGGTTGACCAACTGCTGTTACACTCTTGTGTACATGGATTTAACTTATGGGAACTTGCGTTCTCATGATTTGGCATTTCATGTATATCATTGGACATTGTTTGAGCTCCTTTCAGTGTGGCATGCCATTTTGTTTTAAGAAGGATGATGTAGTTTGGACTTTGGAGGCCTACCTCTTTGTGTGCCATGTGTTCTTTTTGATTGGAAAGGAACATTAGTATTTTCAAAGTTGCAGATTGGGGCCACATCTTGAGTTTTGTTATTTATGTGAACGCCTTCTTTTTTAGATATTTTTTTTGCCTTTAGGTTTCTTTTCTTCTTGCCTTCAAATAAAAATTTTCTTAAATGGAAAAACAAGCCAATACCATGATGTCACTTCAAGTTGGTAATAGTGTCTACCTGTATTCAATCATATATCTGAAATGCATATATTATAGCTTATAGGTCAATAAATGACGAGGGCCATCTTTGATAATGACAAATTGACAACACCTTGAGAAGATGATTCTGAGGATGGTTATGTGTTCCATGTTTTCTTGACATAGCTTAGCTGTAGCTGTTTCTGTTTGGTTGTTTACAAAATCATTGAGCCAGATTACGCCTAATTAATAAAGGTACCCTTTTTTGCAGGGCAATCGCAAGACATTGGCCGATGAATATGAATACGTCATGCAAGGGAAGCTTTTCAAAATTTCAGAAGGTTCTAAACGTGATCCTAAAGCGTAAGTAATAAAAAAAAAATCATTTATTAGGATCTACAAGTGTGCTATTTGATTGTATGTTTGTGAAAAAAGATGAAGAAAATATCAAATGTAGGTATCATGAAAGTGGCTCTTCTGAGTTGGTATAAGCTGACGTGAATTTGATGAAGTCCACTTACAAGGCATCATATCCCCTACAACTATGACTCAGATCCTTGTTATTTCTGCAACATATTGTGGAGGATAATGATGTCAATCATATGACAGTCATTTGCTCTGATTGCTTTTCATTCAGGAAGACAAATTATTGGGGTTTAAGTAAAACTTTATGTCATGTTAACTGAGAATGTCTTTTTTATCGTTCTCTTCTAATTTTCTTGTATTTGAGTTCAGGGAGGTAAATGCTTCATTTGGTGGCCTTTTGATGATGCTGAAGGGGGAAGCCTCTCAATTCAAGAACTTTGAACTTGATCAGAGGATGTTTCTCCTCATAAGGAAGCTATGAGACTCTTGACAGTATCCAACGTGGAATGGTCTACAGCTCTCTCCTAAGAGGAACATTTTTAGGCTTTTCTTATGTAAACTTGTGCTGAACCTTGACGGTTCCGATTAAGCCTGTGTTGAGTAGAGGGCTCCCTGACTAAACTTGAGGTTGCTACATAATTCTCAAGGGTAGTGTGTACGCATGAAATGCTATCACATTGACTTTAAAATTTATGTTGTCAAAATTTAACTCCTGCTAAGAGCCCATGATCTTTGTGTGGCTCATGAATAGTAATAACCATTCTAGTGCACCCCAAATGTGTTTTTTTTTTTTTTTTTG